TACAGCACAGGCCTGCATTACATGATACCACCCTGACACTTTGCACACACAAACTCAGCTTCCTCCTCTGCCTGGGCACCCGTGGGCAAATCACTCAAATAATGCATGTGCAATGGAGGGAGGGCAGGACTTTTTGGTATTCACCACATATATTTAATGCACGAAAATCCCTTGGAACACATTGCTGGTACTTTCCAGGAGAATGACTCAGAAAGAGTCCACTATTTGTCAACTTGCTAGTACACTTGGAAACTACCTAGTCCTTTCTAGGAGTTGACCTAACGATAATGTAACATAAACTTTTCCTCTAGTGACAATACAGCTTGGTGAACACTTTAGTTCCTCTTCTCTCAGATACGGAAAACACGCAACAGCAGATCACTGTAGTGACAAATGAATCAGAATCAGTCGATGCCACAGACACTAGGTTAATATTGTGACATACCCAAAGCAGCACATATTCCTTTTAATAGCTAATTTTGCAGAGTAGTTTAAAAATGCCAGAGATGTCTATCCATCAGGGTGATGGGAAGAAGGGCAATTTCATGGTATGCTGAAGTAAATAACAGCTAATGAAAAACTAAAATATGTTTCAGTTCAAACTGCAAGTACTGAAACCACAAACTCATACTCCAACTGCTCCATATCCCTAGATGCTATTTTTGAGGCTATTTTGCCCTGAACAGGAAAAGCCTGATGCAACTAGCTAAGCTATTTTGAAGTTGCACACTTGTGGAAAATAAATATAATTTCCAAAAACACTGCAGACATGACCTTTTCCAGGGACATAGCTCAAACCAGAAAGCAAACAACATCCTAACAGCACATGGGAATTCCAAGGTGGCAGAGAATCTAATGATCTCCAACGCAAAGCTGAGCCATTAAAACCTGACAGCAACATCAATTTTTTGTTGTTGTTTTATTTTGTAGTAAAGAACAGTGAAAGACTGAAGATGGAATTGCACCTTGGTGATGTACACATCACCTTAGTAGGCAGCTTTAGGAAATATTTAGTTGACTTTAGGACTCTTTTTTCCTTCTTTTTTTCTTTTTTTTCCCAAAACATGCAAGCCCAAAATGCTTCAGATTTTTGGCTGGCAGGGAGGCAGCATATCATTCTCACACGAAGTTCTGGGGCACCTTGATTTTCCCTCCTAATCCACCCCGCTCCTGACCTCAGAGTAAATACGCTTTCTTCTCTGGTAGTCCACAAGCAGGTCCACGCTGAGCTTGCTCACCCACATTTTTAGGCTGAATCTGGTGCAGAGATTGCAAAACAACCCCAGAAATCCTAAATCGCTGGGGGAGGCAGGTGTAGGGTCTACGAAGAAGCGGGATAGCTCATCTAGCTTAGCCATTGAAAAACCACA